TTTAAGCGTTTTTTCGGAAACTTGACCGTTTTTTAAATAAAAAATATTGTAATATATAAGGGGTGGTTTCACCCTCTTGGAACTGGAATTTCGAAAAATCCCTTTTTATCGAACCTCTACACCCTAGAATCAACCTGTATGCCAAAATTGAGCTTCTTACGTTGAGTGGTTTGAGCAGGATCGTAATTAATCAGTATGTCAGTCACTTAAGGATTTTATATATTAGTATAGATAAGGCAAAGGTGTACATATACCTCTTATTTTGAACGAGTTTCCTAGTGTGAATCTGCTGAAAAAAGAGTAACATTGAAAACTACCCTAATTTGAAATATAATTTAAACCTGGCTGTTGGCGATTCCTTAGTTTGAATGTTTAAACTAAAATAATGATTATTTAGGAGCGCCACAATCTACCAACACTATAAAATTCCCTTGGCCCGTCTCTGGTTATCCGAGGAATTCTGCCGAAGAGCATCTGCATTTATCAAGAACCGAGCACATGACACTTCAATAATGTAATTAAATCCGCAAAACGACCTTCCCAGCTGAATTATAGCCGGCCATATTATAATTTTGATTCGCTTCTCCCACCCCGACTGCGCGGTCGCTCGAGTTAAAAATTAATTATCCCCCAATTTATATTACTCGCTTCTTATTCGCGGGGTGAATTTCCATTATCACCGGCCCGTTTTAAATGCAAGATCTAAAAGTTTATTTTTAGACTGCTAGTTTAGAATAAAATATGCAATTGCGAGAGGTACGGAATTCTTAAACGGAAAATGGCGAGGCAAATAAAAGTAATCTATGTCGGAATACTTTATTCTTAAATATTTTTATGTCCAAATTTAAATCATAGTCATATAAAACATGTGTGATTATAATAATATTTGATTATTATTAAAATTATTTTATGTTAGTATTGAAAATACTTCTGGGCGCGTTTATATGGGACCCGTCTTTGAAAAAACGACATGCTAGAGGCGACATGGGTTCAATAACCTGCCTGTCAACGCATAGAGCCGGCGTTAATGAGCGAATAGGGCAAGGACGTTCGGTGGTCTTATCAGTGGGCCAACTAATTTATGGATATGGATGTTTAGTCTCAGAAAATGTGTCAAGGCATGGGTTGTTAGGTACAGTTTTTAATCTAACTATTTCCGTATGAGAAGCAAGGGGCAAATTACCATACCGCCATTATTCGCTGACGAGTATTTGACACGCATCAGAAGATGGTCACGGAAGGCGTTTTCTTTCATGAGCTTTTCTGTGCCTGAAAAGCCCGATACGTGATGTTATCTGTCTTCCGCACTCCAGACATTCAAAAACACCCTTTCTGGTTCTCGCTCTTAACTGACTTTACAATTCTTCTCCATTCCGTTCTATTGCGAGCTGCCTCTTCCCACTCATTCTGCTTGTTAATTCTCTTTAAGTTTTCGTGGAAAATGTCCTTGTACCTTTTGAGTTGTCCACTCGGCCTCCTCTTACCGTCTACAAGCTCACCGTAAAGCAGCGATTTTGGTATACGGTTTTCTTGCATTCTGCATACGTGACCAGCCCATCCTAAGCGGGACTAATCATGACTTCAATACTCTCGCAGTTAGCTTTTTCAAGGACCGATACGTTTGAGACATGATGAAACCATTTTATTCTTAAGAGTTGTCTAAGATGTCTCTGTTGCAACTTGTTTAATGCGTTCATGTGTCGGCGGTACGGCACCCAGGTTTCGCTTCCATATAACATGGTGGGAACTATGATTGTAGAAAACTCTGGCCTTTTAATTTCCAGAATGCTCTTGAGGCGCTGCTAATCCTGTGTTGAATTTCAGAGTCGATATTGGCCTTTTCCGAAATCAAACTTCGGAGGAAATTGAATTCCGCTACATATTCCAACAGCTCATCTCCGATTTTTACAGCATTGTTGTGATCTTCCGGGTGAGTGCACATGATTTTAGTTTTATCGATGTTCAGCTTAAGTCCCATGGCCTCGTATGCCCATGTATATGTGTTCAACATTTCTTGCAATTGCTGTAACCTATTTGCAACTAGAGCACAGTCATTAGCGTATTGAAGTTCTGTGATGAATTTTGTACGTGTTTTTGCCCTGAGTCTTTTTATGTTGAACAGACCGCCGTCGTATCTCTATCTAATGCCCAAACCTCTCTCCTGCAGTGTGCTGTCCACAATAATGGAGAGCGCTGCCATGAATATATTGAATAGGAGAGGCGCTAAGACACATCACTGCCTAACGCCTGTGTTTGTTAGGAAGGGATCGCTCAGTGATCCATGATATGACACTCTTGATTTGTTGATGTTATGGAGGCTTTTACACACTGTAAGAAATTTGATGGGTACTCCGAAATTTTTCATAATTGCCGAAAGTGCATCTCTGTTCACAGAGTCGAAGGCTGTTGTTAGATCGATGAATGCAACGTAAAGTTTAGACTTTTTTACTTTTTCCTGTAGTTGCCGGATGGAGAATATGGAATTGACGGTTCCGCGGTTGGTGCGAAAACCCGTTTGCGATTCTGGGAGGATTTTTTCTATATGTGGGTGCAAGGGCAAAGGGCAAAATTATACGAGAAAGAGCAGAATCACATAAATAATAAATTTAGTCTAATTACCATATTTTTTATATGATTATTATTTCTTTAATTAACAACTTAGAACAAAGAAAGCTTGCATGGTTTCCACCGCCAACAGGCGAGGTGTTGAAACAAAGATTATAAGTTTTCTATCTTGACTTGAAAGATCGATTAAAACGGTAGTAGACCGAGCTTGGAGAACAGTGCTTTCGTTATCGGTAAAATAGTTGCGTGATTTAGTTAAATTCTTACTGGTTTTCTTCTTAATTTTTTAATTTTTATAAAGATTATGAATCATTTACGTGAAAAAACGTTGTAAAAAAATAAAACTGATTTAAAAAAACCTCTCCAGCAATTCCATTGGCTGAAATTTTTGATAGATGATTTTTCAAAAAAAAATCGGTCAATAGAATTGCTGGAGAGCGATATGCCGATCCGCCGTTCTTCTTTTCCTACGATGGTGTGGATGCACCCTCAGTGTAGTTTAATATCGTTTTGATTATGACAAAAATAAAACAATGTGAAAAATCGAAATACTGTTTAATACAATAAAATACAGCTTCGATATAAAATAATACATTAAATATAACAGTTAAATAAGAGTAATAACAGCCAGACGTATCTATAACAATAAAAAATAACATAATCAATTGCAGGCCTGACACTAAGCAAATCAGTGAAATGGGTGATTTTATTGAAAAAAAATTTTAAAGCTTCATTTCTCCAAGGGTATCAATGTTTTTAATACTAAATATTTAATGAAGTTTATTTATTGATTAGTTATTGTGTTGCAATAATAAAAATAATACTACCTTATACAGAGTGTCTAAAAATTTATTTTAAATAATTATTAGCTTCAAACGGCAATAACTTCTTTAATTTAAATGGAATGCCCTGTATATTTTAGGAGAATCAGATGCACAATTAAATTGTCTATCAAATTGTATTATACCATTTTTTACCTATCCTTCAAGTTTTCGTAGAAAATGAATTTTCTTATAATTTAGACCTCATTTATCAATATATCCATGGAATATTGACATTTTAGATTGTTTTAAAGCAACAAATGTACAAAATGTACAGACTAGTAATATTATCGTTTTTAGCAAAACGATAATATTACTAGCCCATTTGTATGCAAAAAGAAAACTATTTAAATCTTTATAAAAGAGTATACCATTAATTAAATATAACACCATTATTTCTGCCCATATACTAATTAATTACATACTTAATTGTGTTCGTTAATAAATTATTATAAATAAATGTGGATTTGAGTCAGAAATTAATATAATAATAAGTTATCAAATTAAAGTCTCTGTTGTTATAAATAAGCATTTATTAAAAAATGAAATATCATTTTTAAGGTGTTACTTTTTATCACACTGTCTAATGCCCATACAAAATTCAGTTTTTTAGTATTTGGAGCAATTATTATTAATCAACGCAAACAGTCAGTTAATGTAGTTTGAATACTGGAATCATATTAATTGATCTTCCTTAACAAATATTTAAACAGTTTTTTTTTATTTTTTAATGAAAAAAACGAAATATCGACAATATTAGTATCTGTACTCTTTAAAAATTTGGTACATCTTTAAAAATAATCTAAAATGTCAATAGTCCATGGGTATATTGATAAATAAGTTCTAACTTACAAGAAAATGCATTTTCTACGGAAACTTAAAGAGATAGGTAAAAAATGGTATAATATAATTTGATAGACAATTAAATTGTGCATCTGATTCTCGTAAAATATACAGGGGTTCCATTTAAATTAAACAAGTTATTGCCGTTTGAAGCTAATAATTATTTAATATAAATTTTTAGACACTCTGTATAAGGTAGTATTATTTTTATTATTGCAACACAATAACTGATCAGTAAATAAACTTCAGTAAATATTTAGTATTAAAAACTTTGATACCCTTGGAGAAATGAAGCCTTTAAATTTTTACTGCAATTTCACAAAATTGAAAATATTTCAAAAACGGTAAGGTTTAAGTATAATAAACCTTAATCAAATTTACCTTTATTTTAATCGTAGAAACTAAAAATGTAATAATATACAGGGTGTTCCATTTAAAAAAATACAACTTTGATATTTTTTACTTATTTGGGACACTCTGTATCTTGTAAAATTATTTTTAAATTGTACCTCTAATAGTCCTTCATCGAACCCAAAACTTACAATTTGTAAAAATCTCATCGTTTAGCTACAATACTCCGTGTCGTATGTGGTGAACAACCCTGTATTTTATATAAAAAATATTATTTTCTTATTCTATGCGAAATTTGTGAATAGATTCAAATCCTCTTATTTTTTAACAAGTCTTAAATAACCACTGCCTTAAATTTCAAATATACATTGATAGAAGATTAAAAAATAAAGAATAATTTAAACTCTCTATTTGTTACAGGAGTTACAGCGTTTCAACCAGAATTTGCAGAACCCATAAAAAACTTGTCAGTTCCTTTAGGACGAGATGCGACATTTCAGTGTATAGTACATCATCTAGGAGGCTACAGGGTAAGTTTAAAAATAATAAGTGTAAGTAACTTAGAAACTGACTTCAATGTATGAGAATATTTATTTGAAATGAACAAAATTCTTACAGCTTAAGTGTATATTAATAAATAATCTTTTCTTGCCTTTAGCTGTGTATTTTTTCTAATTTCGAAAAATCAAAAGTAGAGAAAAAAAAAATAAAAAGTAAAAAGTAAAAAGAAAATTGATTTGCTTGTCGTAAAGGGGGGAACCAAGCTCCACTCCCACAACCGGTTTCAGGGCCTACCCTTCATCAGGTGGGCTGCCCAGTAGTGCTCGAGAACTATCGATAGCCTATCGATATTTATCGATAGTTTATACTATCGAAAACTATCGATATTATATTTCTGACCATCGATAGTTTTCGATAATTATGTCTTTAGTAATAAAGACATAATTATCGAAAACTATTTACCAGTTTCAATAAAGAAAAGACATTCAGGTTTAATTTTTTTTTATCACAACCAATCAGTTCTTTAACATAGGCTGAAAATAAATAAGAATCTTCTTTTAAACGAGTTTTCGGAGCAGTTAGTCAATCCGAAATATGTCATTATTGTCAAAATTATCAAATGTCGTGTCAACACTGTCAACAGTGTCAACTTTAACGTCAAACGTCAACTTCAAGCTTACGGCCAACGGATTTTTGGATCTAATCTGGCATTTTTGCTTTGCATTTTGCAATTTAATTTATATGTGATAAACAATAATAAACATAAATCAAAATATAAAAAAAAACGTATGTGATGTGTGATGTGTGATGTGTCCATTCCATTAGCAGGCGGTGATTTAATATAAAAATGTTATTTAAAGAGTCTGGGTTAGTTTTTTACGTCAATGATCTCCCACAAAACATAATGTATTTAAGAAATAACCTAAAAACTGGTAAACATACTAATTATTATGACTATCGAACACTATCGATAATAATCGATGGTAAAAGGACCGACTATCGATAATTATCGATGGTGGGGACCATAAAATAATAAATACAAGAAGAAGTGTCAAGTCAATGTTAAATTATGGAAACAGCGTGGCTGCCTGGGTAACTAATTTTCAGATATGGCGGCTGGGACATTTGACATGACATAGACATGACAATTTCAATTTTATGAAATTTATTTCCGTTTCCGGTTTTTAATGGCGGGCTGTTCAGGAGGTTTAAATGAGGGTTAATATACTTTTTACTTTTTTCTAGTAGTAAATAATACAACAAAATTACTCAAAAAATATTTATTTGGAATTTAGAACAATGTAAATATGCAAATCAACACAATTAAAGATCTATAAACCCATAAACTACTGTATCAATATCAAAATATTTAAATAACATCAGAGATGCTGTGTTAAAGTGAATTAGTAAAGTAACAATGCACTGACTTACAGAAACTTGAAGATAAATAAATGTTTTCACAGCTTCACGGGCGTAAAACTAACTGGAAGCAGGAAAAAGACAACAGAAACCCACGCAAAACCTGGAATCAAAAAAAATATGTAAAAAAACATAAATATAGGTACATAAGACTGTTATGAATTAAATCAAACAGGACTTGAATGAAAATAAAATGAATAAAAAATATGATACCAATACATCTAATACCTCATTTGTATTTTAAAAATAATCTACATACATAGCATTATTGCTATGAAAATACATAATAGGTACCTATGTGATATGTAATTACGCATTTCTGTTCATCTTGTAGATAATTAATATAGGCTGTAGGCTAATAATAGTTCAATAATCATAATTTACCTTGTGTAACTTGCTTTCAATTGCTCAAAATCACCGATCAGTCTTTAAAGTAGAGATATGGAAAAATCCTTGGTAAAGAATATCCCAAGATCCTTGGATCTAAAGCTAAAAAAATATAAAAACAGTTAATTTATTATACCTATTTTTACATAAAATATGGCCCATACCTACTACACGCAGAAACGTCGATTTCATCATTTTCTTCATGTAATTAATATCATATATACTTTATTAAAGTGTTAAAAAGGAACTTTATATCAAAAAACATCTTTGTACTTATAAATTTCAGCCGAAATATCATAAACAAACTCCATTCAAATCTAAAACGGCAAAAATTAAAATGGCGCCCGACCTTGCCAGAGGCCTCGGGAGTTGACACATGGCTGACACACAGACAAAAGAAGAGGACGCCGACGTGCATAAAAATGTTCCGTAACTGAAATTGACAGAAATCATATAGAAATATTCAGATTTTTGTCTAGGACAGTCTAGAAGGCCATGCTTTCTGCCTGGGTAAGACCGCGCCAGAACTGTTTCCAATTTTCCGGTTTACTGTCACCCCCCTGGTGGGGACTATCGATAGTTCTCGACCACTACTGCCCAGGGGCTGGTTCTCACCGATACGGCAAGCTAAACTTCTTCTATATTAACAGACGATGTCGTAAAGTGTCGGTGAGATATTAGTGCATCTCCCGTCAAAAGATGGTAAAGAGCGTTTTTCGGCCCGCTCAAATATATATATGAAATGAACAAAATTCTTACAGCTTTAGTGTATATTAATAAATAATATTTTCTTGCTTTTAGCTGTGTGTTTTTTCTAATTTCGAAAAATCGAAAATAGAGAAAAAAAATAAAAAGTAAAAAGAAAATTGTTTTGTTTGTCGTAAAGGGGGGAACCAAGCTCCACTCCCACAACCGGTTTCTGGGCCTACCCTTCGTCAGGTAGGCTGCCCAGGGGCTAGTTCTCACCGATTCGGCATTCATATATATATTTGAGCATTCTCAATAATGATTCAATTCATATTTGAGCATCCTCAATTAGGATGGATTCCTCAACTGTAATATATTTCCAAAAAAAAAAAAATAAGAAAAGGATTTAGAAGAGTCACATCACATTTGCCCCTATTCAATAACTTTTACAAATAAGGTTCTTGTAAAGTAGATTTAAAGTATGCCGAAGCTGGTCAAGATCCCGAACTGAAGCACGGGGCTATAATAACGGTGCGGATATGACAAATAACTGAAAAGCGCCACAAACTCCGGACCATTTATAATACGCAGCTGCTACGGATGATCGGGAGCAGTTCGTGACCAGCCAGGTCCGCTGACCTTTCTCTATTTTTATTTACTTTATTCGTTGCCTTTAAAGAGACCTAAACGTTGTTTAGGAGTCTTTCAGGGGACTCTTATTATAGTCCAATAAAGAGGCTGTTACGTACTAAATATTCCATAAATATTTACGATTTTATAAGAGCGGAATATCGACTATATATATTTCATTCTGTAATAAAAGGAATCCTTAAAAATATATAAAATGAAGTGGTGTTTTAGGTGCTTTTGTTTTCTTTTTGGTCTTTTTTATTGCATATTCTTTAATATTGCTAAATTGTGTCGAAGTATACAAGTTGGGTGTATTTCTTGGAGAAATGAGAAAGCCTGGGTATTTTGCCACTAAAAGAGTATACCGTGTGGTGCATCAGAACACGGGACATAGGAAATTCCATCATGTAAATTTTGAAAAGGTCAATAAATCTTACCTTCCCAGATAATTTTAAGCAAAAATTCTATTAGACTTTTTTAAATTTTAATAAAGAGGCGTCAAAGTTGTACAGGGTGTCCCACTAAGAATAGCTCTCGGCTGTATCTCGGAAAGTATTAGCCGTAGGGGCTTCGGAAAAAAATATTTATAACTAAAGAGCTATGAGAAATTGCTGGAAATTATTTTCAAGTTTGTAGAACGACCGCTAGGGGGCGCAACTGCAACAAAAAATAAGAAAATGGAGTTTTTACACAATTTTGCCTAGATAAGGTGTATTATAAGTAATAGCTTCATAATGCTCAGTAAATTTTGAATATTTTTTGTTAGAGCCATTTTCCCCTATCTGCTAAAATAAAGTGGTGGGGGAAGGTTAGATCTGTTTTTATTTAAATATGAATAACTCTGGACTGGATGATCGGAATCCAACAAGCGAGGGCTCGTTTAAAAGAGCGTTTCTTACTCTATATTGTACCATATAAACAATAATAATAAGCTTTTGAACGTAGACGCTAGGGGGCGTTGTCTTACAATTTAACAAACATTGCACCTTTTTTCAAAAATATTAAATATAATAGTATATGTAATTTTAGCTCATAGTAAAGAGTAGTAAAAGCTTAAAAAGTCAGCGAAAACCGCATCTTCATATCTTCTTTCAAACCGAAGATATTAGCAAAATTATAATAAATACCAAAAAATAAGCCCTTAATTACCTTATTTTTACAACACGGTATCAGTAGCCCTCTTGATTATGCCCATTCTAACAAAAAAATAAGATAGAAACAGTTAGTTTATTTTAAAATCGACGAAATACCAGAATACCATAATACCAGATCTAATAATTAAGACATTAGTAACAGTGAACAAATAAATAAATTTACTACTTACTTTATTTTATTTTTTTGATGATTCAGTAAAGTCATGGGTAGGCTTTGGAAAATAGTTGCTTTTCGCTTAATAGTATAAACGTCAAATTTTTATTACATCAACATTTTGATAGTCTTATCAGCGTTTTTTGTCTTTTGATTGCTTTTTCAAAATGCCAACAACTAGAACTATTTCAAATAATAAAGGCATTTTGAAAAAGCAATTAAAAGATAAAAAACGCTGATAAGACTATCAAAATGTTGATCTAATAACAATTTGACGTTTATACTATTACGTCAAAAGCAACTTTTTTCCAAAGCCTACCATGACTTCACTGAATCATCGTTTCTTGTTCACTGTTATTAATATCTTAATTATTAGATATTAATACCTCGGGTATTATGGTATTCTGGTATTTCGTCGATTTTAAAATAACCTAACTGTTTCTATCTTATTTTTTTGTTAGAATGGGCATAATTAAGAGGGCTACTGATACCGTGTTGTCAAAATAGGGTAATTATGGGCTTATGGGTTTATTTTTTGGTATTTATTATAATTTTGCTAATATCTTCGGTTTGAAAGAATATATCAAGATGCGGTTTT